TAGAACTCGCAGAACGTATATATCTTCTTTTGTTTCCAAGTAATTAGCCCGCGGAGTTTTAGCTGAATCACCCGGTATATCACCAAACATATAAAAAATTTATTGATTACAGGGCTAAAAATAACATACATGTCTTTTTCAGGAAATGTACTATTGGCATATTTTTCTAAATTAAGCAAAAGTATGAATCTTCATTATGGTCAATTTATGCGATGGTCAGAGCTACTTTGAATGTCTACAACAACATCGATATTGGAAAGTATTTAAAATTAAAAGCATTCTTGAAACGGCAATTGGTTGGATATCGTGCTAAAAAATCATGTGATTTAGAAAATAAACAAATTAAAAATATTTTTGTAAATGTTGGATTTTTGCCATCTTGGGCGTATCGATGTGATGAATTATTTCAAATAAAAATTGGAGATATTGAAAATATGGGAAATAGATGGCTGATGACTGCCAACTACAAAAACAAATAAAAACAAATCCTTTATTGTAAGCGAATGCATATTTAGATATACAGGGTGTTTTGGTAAGTCGATGTATTCCTAGCAGGAGGTTATTCTACAAGTGATTTGTGATATATTTCCTTAATATACCATATTCCGAAAAGGCTTAGTTTCCGATCTACAGGATGTTAAAGTTTTAATAAAGCAATGTAAATTTATAAATATTGCGGAAACCGCTCAGAATATTTTAATGAAATTTTACAGGCTTTGACAATTAACAATACATGTTTTACGATAAAAATATTGTTTTCAGTTTCACCAGTGGCGTGCGCACAGATCCGTCTGGCAATATTTTCTCTGAAGATGATACCGATAAACACCCATATACATATTTCTAGATATCAATTTGGATTGCATGCCCATATGTTTTTAACCAGATTATCATGCACAACATACAGGGTGTCCCGGAAATGGTGGGCAATCTCTCGGATATGGATAGATAATGAGAAAATAATGTCACAAGTTCATATAAAATTTTTTCTCCGGGCTCACCCTGTAGAGTTATTAGCTCTTGAAGTTGAGAATTAAAAATGGTTTTTTTGCTATAACTTTTGTATTTTTCAAATAAATTTTGAAATTTATTTGGCTGGATCTTTAATTTTTGAAGCTGCTTTGGATGATAATATGAAATCCTCGATAATAATTATGGGGGCCCGGGGGCAAAGCACCCCCCACCAAAATTTCTAGAAAAAAAATTTTTGTTCCACTATATCACAAATTTTCCATCATTTTATAAAAATTTATGGTATTTTACATAAAAAAGGTATACTTGTTGAATATCCATAAAATAGATATTTTTTTAGATAAACCCGTTTAAAGAGGAAGGTGCCATTAAGGAGGTTCGATACCAAAAAAAAAATGGTAAGAAAGTTTTCAAAATCATAGAAACCTGTTAATAAATATGCCAACTGCCTCGTGTCAAAATATCAGATCGATTGCCGATATAGTTTTTTTGAAAAATGATATTAAAAATTATGCTCTTTTACACAGGCTCTTATGGGAGTTGGGAAAAAACTTTAATCAAACGTGAATATTGCTCTTAAAAATGGTTAGGATCGGGAAAATATAATTATAATTAAAAAATTTAATATTACTAAACATTTTAAAACAATAAAAATATGCACTTACAATGTAATTATTGAGATAACGGAATGAATATATAACGTTTTGACAAATTTGAACAAACATCTGATCCAATGAAAGGAAATATGGCAACACTGTACTCTGTATTTAACGCGTTGACTGACACGCTATATTTGAATAGCTCGATTATAGACTATAAAATTATTCCAACAAAAACACATGTAGTAATAATTAATATTAAATACATTTTTCGTGATCTAATGCAATATAATAGCAATTTGAAACAAAAATTAAAAGGATCTCTTTGCAAATCGAACATTATAGATGTTCTGTCATAATCTTCAATTTGACAAGGCGACGTGTCATTCATACACTGAGCTTCTTGATAGTTATCATATGGATTCTCGGTTTGCATATTTTACTTTTTTCTTATCAGTCCCACATTCTGTTTCATATGCATTTTGTATTGCTTTTGTCATTACTGTTGCTTTGTATCTTGAATGTTCATTCATGTTTACGGAATACGCGCAAAGCACAGTTGACAGTAATGACAGTTGACCCAACTTTTACCACCACGCCATGGCAATGTTGCCAGACTTCATCCATAATTTTACAAGCTCCTAGTGAATAAATACACTTTTATTCAAATAAAATGTTAATTGCCGTACATTAAACACGAAAAATATATGCGAGCTACTATGTGTTATATAAATTTCATTCGTATATATTATATTTAGTTCGCTCAAATTAGATTATGTAAGGTTGGTACTACAACGAAACTACCATGTAAAAGCATAGGCTTCCCTCCCGCACCGCCTGCCCCGCAAGAGATGTATCGAACCTCCTTAATTTGAGACATTTTATTTAATTGAAAGACAGATTTAATCGTGGTTGGCTTTGACATGTCAGAGTATGCCAAAGGCAATTAAATTGTCAAACTTGTCAAATACGTAGTTTTAAATCTAAGACTCATTTCATAACTCATAATTTGTTATAAAATATGGAGTATTCCAATGAAGAATATGCTGATATGCATTTAATGTATGGGCGGGCTCTTTGTAATGCTTCGGCAGCAAGAAGATTTTATCAGCATTCTTATCCTAATAGAAGGATTCCGGATCGCAAAACTTTCGAACGTATTGATCAAAGATTAAGAGAAACTGGTAAAATACGATTACTATTATTAAACAAAATGGATATTAAATAAATTTTAATGTCTTTAGGTCAGTTTGCTCCTGTTACTGCAAACAGGGGTGCCCCGCGAACAGCACGTACAGTTGAAGTAGAGGAAAATATACTGGACGAAGTTGCTGCTCATCCAACAGTTAGCATTAGGTCATTATCTTCTTTTACCAATGTTCCAAAGACCACTGTTGCAAGAATCCTTAGAGAACAGCTTCTTCACCCTTACCATATCCAAAAAGTGCATGCTCTTAATCCTGATGATTTTCGTGCAAGAGTACAGTTTTCTCAATGGTTTCTTCAGAGACATGAGCAAAATCCTATGTTTACGAGATTAATTCTGTATACTGACGAAGCAAGTTTTGGGAGGAATGGAGTTATTAACTCCCATAATTTACATTATTGGTCTGATGAGAACCCACACGCTATTATTGAAACTAGGCACCAAAGACAATTTTATGTTAATGTTTGGAGTGGAATTATTGGTCCTTACTTATTGGGTCCATTTGTGTTACCCCCTAGACTGAATGGTCAACGTTACCTAGATTTCCTTGTGCATCAATTACCACAACTGTTAGAAGATGTTGATCTTGAAACCAGAAATGCACTGATATTCATGCACGATGGGGCGCCGCCTCACTTTAGTGCTGCAGTAAGGGACCATTTAAACGAGGTATATCCTAATCGCTGGATAGGTCGCGGTGGACCTATTCATTGGCCTGCCCGAACTCCAGATATGAACCCACTTGACTTTTTCTTTTGGGGGCACTTGAAAAATCTTGTTTATTCCACACCTGTAACCACTAGAGAAGAATTAGAAGAAAGGATTTTTTATTGTGCAAATGAAATACGACAAAATCCTGAAATGTTATGGAGAGTGCAACAGTCTTCTGTTAAACGAGCTCGTATTTGTATAAGAGAAGGTGGAACTAATATTGAGAATTTATTATGAATTATATTAGTTACAAAATTTTGATTGTCATGCACTTTTCGTTTAGTTAGTTTAGTTAAGTCCAAATTCTCATAATTTGGAACACTGCTATTGCAAATTATTTGTCCTTTATTCTGATATGTAAAAGCCAACTACGATTAAACCTGTGTTTCTGTTAAATAAAATGTCTCAAATTAAACAGTACCGTTGTCTCTAAACTTGTTTTTCTACAAACGTCATTAAGGTATAATTTTAACGCATGCTGTCAGTCAATTTCATTTTATGATACTAGTGTTAAAAGTGAATTATTTTTAGCACTAGTGTTAAAAGTAAGTCATGTGATTTACCTTTAAGACCACTGTTATAAAATCACACTTTAGAAACTGTCAGTACACGTTAAAAATTATACAAAATTATATTTTATGGATATTCAACAAGTATACCTTTTTTACGTAAAATACCATAGATTTTTATAAAATGATGGAAAATTTGGGGTATAGTGGAACAAAAATTTTTTTTCTAGAAAGTTTGGTGGGGGGTGCTTTGCCCCCAGGCCCCCATAATTATTATCGAGGAATTCATATTATCATCCAAAGCAGACTCAAAAATTATACAGGGTAGGAAAGTACCGATGGTCTATCTGAAGTTACGTGAGAGCGATAAAGTAAGCCATAGAAATCCATGCGATAGAGGATGGCTATAATGAAGGCGTCTCTTAGTCACCGCCCGTTTCGCCCTTCCACAAATAAGATCCACTTCTTATTTGTGGAAGGGCGAAATGGGCGTTGACTATTAGACGCCTTCATTATAGCCATCCTTGTCTATCATATGGATTTCTATGGCTTACTTTATCGCTCTCATGTAACTTCGGATAGACCATCGGTACTTTCCTACACTGAAGATCTAGAAAAAAAATTTTCAAAATTTATTGAAAAATACAAAAGTTACAGCAAAAAAAAACATTTTTAATTCTCAACTTCAAGAGCTAATAACTCTACAGGGTGAGCCCGGAGGAAAAAATTTTATATGAACTTGTGACATTATTTTCTCATTATCTATCCATATCCGAGAGATTTCCCACCATTTCCGGGACACCTTGTATATAAATGTATAAAATAAAAAGGTAACTTCCATATTTCTTTCAATGATGCAATATTCAATGAAGTTTAATTCTCAAGAGAATATTTTAATACTTTATATTTATTAAACTAAAAACAAATATTATAAAAGACATAAATAAATTCTCAAAAAACTTAATATATTTAAAAAAATATCACAAATTCTAAAATACATACGTGTATTCCAAAAGCATTTAAATCCTGAACAGCTAATGGCGGAAAATAGTCTAGCCAATAATTAGCATCTGCAAATTTTTTTATCTCTCCGTCATTTAAACCCAAACTTTTCATAATTTGCCACTGGTATTTTGCTGTACCAGCCTTAGCAACTGCTTTGCTCTGCAATAAAAAATTGCAATAGGTGCATAATCATTTATTTTTAAGAATTGTTTCAAGCATACCTTTTTTCCTTTACTTTTATCTTTAGGTATTCCTTCATCATCTTCTTCAATAGTAATTTCTTCAGTTTGAGGAAATTGTGGTGGGAAACCATAAAGTTCCATTTCCCTTTTTAATTTATCAGCACAAGCTTTAATTGGCATACCTGTGCAGTGAAACCCAAAAGGAAATAGCACCTGTTAAAATAAAACATTTTATGCTTTAAGTAATTAGATAATTAATAAACTTACTCTTTTCCCCTTGAGTCTATGATATCGAACTGCAAATTCACATTTCGATAAGGAAAATGTGTGACCCATATGTAATCGACCATTCATATAAGGATAAGGAAAAGTGCACATAAATTTTTCTTCATTAGACCCTCTAGCGGGAGCATCTTCCTCATAAATTTTTTCATTCTTCCAACGTGTTTGAATATCCCTTTCAATTTTTTGGAGATATTCAACTTTGAAAGTTCCTTTCCTCTCTACTGTCACCTATTAATGAATGTTAGTAATTCAAATTTCATCATTCAACATTTATATATAAAAAAAACTTACCATTATGTTAACTAAACAGGTAAACCTACTTTAATAAAATGATTTATTGTCATTCGATATAAGTTGTATGTAAAAATATGATGATTAAATTTTACAATTTACACCATATTACCACATAACTTCACACTTTACACTACCCACAAAATATATAATAGACTTTACACGTGAACGTGAACCAGAGATTACTATTCTGTGCTACAACACAACTAGGTATAACCTACAAATAAAAGGAAAAAGGAGTAACACCATGCGGTCAGGGTTGCCACTAGGTCGACACGAAATTACTGACGAAACTTGATTGCATTCCTGACATTTCCTGGCAAAACTTAATTATATTATTACTTGCAATTCCTGGCAATTTAATAGTTTAATCTATTATTTTGGTGATTATTACCTTTGTCTTAACCGTCCTATCCCGTCAGTGTATAAATAGCTATCACTATCACTCTGTAACCTGTAATATTAAACATTAAACAAGGATCGCTGCCGAGTGCCAAGTGTGACAAAATATAATAGTAAAGAAGCATGATACATCGTCATCTAGCGGTGATATCGTGAATCGAAATTCTTAAAACTGATTAAAGTAATCTCTGTGCTCTGTGATGCTTATTTATGATCTTTTAATAACAAATGCAATAATGCAAATGTTGGGGGTTATTTGCAAATCGACATCCCTGAAAATGTTGCTCCCCTGGCAAATTTCTGACGTTAAGTCAATCCTGGCAAATTTACTGGCAGGACTCTTTATTCCTGGCAAATGCCAGTAATTACTGGCAAAACGGCAACCCTGCATGCGGTATTCAGATGTCAATAGGTGTACTTTGTGTTGCATATCTATTTCTACCAAGCTCATCATTTTCCGAAAAGCATTCCAAAATTTAATGCTCGTAATATTCCTTTCAGCTTTTTTATAGGCAATCAATTAAATATAATATAGCCAAATATAATAGAAATTTACAGTACGACCACAAAGCAGTGTATTCTTTGTGCGTATATTATGTAAAAGTAGGAAAGTACATACATACAGGTTTTTCATAATAGGTAGGTATTGTAATATATTATCAGGGCCGTTCCTGGGCAGTGTGCTGGTGGTGCCCCGGCACCAGGGCGGCCAAAATTCAACTTTTCTGTCCTGGTCTTCCCCAGATTCCTAACTAAAAATATTTAAACAATAGCAGCAAAGACTGCAAAAGATAAAATGTATATTAATTTTCGTCTTATAAATAATGTAGTATTAAATACACTGTTTTTACACTTTTTACATAAATTAATGCAAAAAATTAAAGTCAAAAGAATTTTTCCGTGATTTTTGACAGACTGTATTTAGGTGAAAAATGGGGTATCGGGAATTAAAAAAAAGCATTTTGAAGCTTTAAGATTCTAGTTTTTGAGATATTTCGGTCGAAATTTTTTAGGGGCTACGGTTATTATGCAATTCTAAGAAATAGCGCGATAAAAAAATTTTGCAAATTTTCTTTTTTTTTCTTCAATTTAAACGTTATTTGTGGTAAATGTGAAAAAAACCTCAAAAAAAACTTTTTCAATCTTCAACCAAACTTCAACAAAAACGTGACCCTTTAATTTTTTTCAAAAGTTTGACTATTTGAAACAAACAAACGGGTCGCTAAATCGAGATGAAACTTCACAGGGTTCTTCTGGGTATATCGAACTGTAAAAGTCATGCTTAATTCTAATTTAGCCGTCAATTTTCTAAAAAACCATAAATTACCCATTTTTCCTGTTTTTTAAAATTCGTGTAAAAGATGAAAAATTGTTTTTTCCATATGTTTATATAGGAAACTTATTCCAGTTTCCGAAACTGCCATTCAATTCTATGTACGAGCATTTGTCGCCGAGATATCGATGATTGAAAACAAAATGATCCTTTTCCATTAAAAATCCGATATTTCGATGAAAAATGGTCGTATCAAAATTTAAAAAAAAAAAATGAAATTGAAGCTGAATAAACAAGCTATCTGGTCCATACAATGGCTAAGCTGAAAAAAAAATTCCAAGTCCGCGGACTTGGAAAAAAAAAGAAAATTTGCAACATTTTTTGTCGCGCTATCTCTTAGAATTGAATGACAACCGTAGCACCTAAAAAATTTCCACCGAAAGATCTAAAAACTAGAATCTTGGAGCTTCAAAATGCTATTATTTAATTCCTGATACGACTATTTTTACCTAAATACAGTCTGTCAAAAATCACGGAAAAATTTCGAAAATTCTTTTGACCTTTTAATTTTTTGCATTAGTTTAAAAAAATTTAAAATTACGAATGTTTTAAAAATGTCTTTCTTAAACGTTTACGAACAAGTGAACGCCTAATTAATAAACACAGAACCCGAGCGAAACGAATGCTGAGTGCTAAGATTACAATAATTATTACCTACTTATCGTCAGATTTACAACGTTTAGACAGCTCAAAATTTTTATATTCTATATTTTGTGAATACCTCTCATACTAGTCGTAATACGAAGTTCCTGTTTTCCAATGAGTTTAATTTAATTGAATATTAGTTTTAGAGCTTTTGATTATTATTTTTGTTATGACTTTTCAGATTGTATTTTACAGTAGAATATTAAAGTTTGTTAGTGCAAAAATAAATCGTTCTGTATTTCTAATAACACACCTCCATCATAGTCATCTCTAATCCCTGATATTAATAATGTCATAATGATATGATAGATACATATTACGGGGTAGGGGCGGCCAATTTTTCTATGCACCAAGGCGGCAAGTACCCCAGGAAGGGCCCTGTATATTATAGGATGTTTGAAAAAACTTTAAATGAAATTGGATTAAGTTGACTGCTCAGAAATGGAAGGAAATAATATGAAGATGGATATATGTCCATCAGAAAAGCTTGGTTTTTAAAACGTTTGACCAGGGCTGGATTAACCTATGGTGAGGCGTGAGGTCTGGGGCTACTAGCTTTACGACGGAGGCCTTTTTTCTAAAAAAAAATTAAAAAAAATATACAAGTATAAAATTTCAAAACCTAAACACGTTTTGATTTCATTTTGCCAGATCTTGCCGAGGCTCCACGATTTAGTGAGGCCCGGGGCTATAGCCCCTGAAGACCCACGCCCGCCCCCCTAAAATGAAACAAGAAAATTAGGTTAATGCCTATTTCGGTGTTTAGTTTAAATACGATCTCTGATTAATGTAACTCCAAACTTGAACTACCCATCCATAAAAGAGTTTATACAATTTTGTTTGCTAGAAATACCTATACAATTGTAAATACAATATAATTATGAAACGCCAGGAAAAGTTATTAAGCTAAGCAAGGAGATATAGCCCAAAACAAAATATATTCTGGGGTTTTTCTTGATTATTTACGTCACATTTAAAAATTTATTTTTATATAAAATCTAATAAACATTTTTGTGAAACGAAGATATATGTAGTTTTACAGTTATGTTAGGTTTAACAACGTGTTTCGTAATGGTAACTTTAGTTAAAAAAATTAAAAAAAAAATCGATACTGGTTCAGTGTTATATCTTTTTTTTTTGAAACATTTTTAGAAGTTGCAGTAGAAATTGAATTTTTAAAATGGTAACATCAAATTTTGATTTCCGCCTCTGTGTTCAAAGTGAACAGACGTGTTTAAAAGTGCTCCGTGTTATAACTTGAAAAATTCGAGCTAATACGAGCTAATAAATAATATCGTAAAGTGCATAATAAAATATACCTATATTAAATGCGGTCTAAGTAGTTAAGTTAGGCAAGAAGTAAATAAAAACGGCAATTCGCGAGTTGTTAAAACGGGATAATAGAAATAAATATACCTAGTAAGCAACTGGAAACGAACGTCATAAAAAAGTAAAGAGATAAGAGTCGATAAGAGACTGGCCTCCGAACTGTTGAAGTGGGTGAGTCTTTTTTCGCGACGTAGTATACAGAATCGGAATAAGGACGGGAGCCCGCAAAATGAATAAAAGTGAAATAGATAGCGATGATTACAATACAGATGACGGCGCGAAAAGGAAAAGAGAGGGACAA